CATCACAATCAGCCTCTCATTTACATCACATAATCAAATGTTCACTTTGTCTGGTTTTGTTGCAGTCTGCCCCATATTACCAGTTACAAAACCGGCTCAATGTACTAATTATTTCAAAAAATAATAACTCAAAAAGTTTCAAGTCTTTTTCAATAAAACAAAAATGTACTAAAAGCCAGAAAGCAAGACTATGTTCAGTGAATATTTGCAGAGATATGAGTAAATAAATTCAATAGTTACAAACATTGAGCCGGTTTTGTGAGTCACTGTATGTTATGTTAACATTCTTCTTATTAGACATGCATAACAATAACGAGGCATTATAGATACATTCTTGGAATTTTGAAACTGAGGGAAAATCCATACTGAGATACTAATACAAGAGGAAGGGGCTGCACAAAACTTGTGGGATCTCATGATATAGTAATAGATAGCTACATTTTCTGGTAACTTACCATTCTTGGGAGTTGACCTAATACTAATCCATTGCCTCTGTATGTGAAATTTTGTATGACACTTGAGAAGTTTTTTTAGTCTATTAACAGCATGAATGGCCTTTGATTACCATCTTCAGCGTCATTTCAGTTGCAGGTATCTGAATAATAATATTTTTCGAATCTTTAGTTAGTTTTATACTCGGGAGTTTCTCTTACTGGGTATCTTCACATAGTTTTTTTAAGGTTGAAGCTGTGTTGCTAATTATAATGATTCAAAACTCATGTAGAGATTGTAAATGTATTTACTTATTGACGAAAATATAACTCCACACATAACCAATCGATAAGCAAAAGTTGTGCACTGTAGTATTTTATTGAACTTACTTAGCCTGCGGAATCGAAAAGTCGAGTTAGTCTGAATATGTCCATTTAAAGTTTTTAATAGAAATTCCAAAGCCATAACTTCATATAGCTGATTTTGAGAAACTACATTCGCTATTCTCCAATGCTAACATAACGTTCATTCTTATGAATCAAGCAATAAGGGTGTAATAACATTGCTTCATTATGCAAGAACTTATCATGTTGAGAAGAACGTTAAAGCCCGATAACCTCTCCATTCATTTCTTCCCTAAACCCTTAATCGTATAATGTTAATTCAGTCTCCTTTCTTCGTAACGGCCCACTTAAAGACTTTGAGTCAGACACGCACACGACGCATTCTTTAACGGTTTCCATACGGTCATAATAGAATGTTTCCGCTTAGACGAACTATTCCTGAGTCAAAGTATCCCAGACATAGCAGATAACACGGAACAAATCATTCTTCTTCTCACAAGCAATGAGCTCTGAAACATAGCATCAAGTTTCGTCTCTTGCCAAAGAGAAGTATTTAAATTAGAAAAATCTTGTCGATAATTGATAACAAATCAGTCGAAATAATGGGATTGGCAGTTACACAAACAACCGTAACAATAAATAGGTGTTTTAAACATTTCGACACACCTCCCAAATGGCCGACAGCGAGACAACTCCTTTAGCGCAAAATACGGCTTCCACGCCTTTGGCCGATGCGGAAAAGGTTAGTCATTGTCTCAGCTCTGGCCTTCATGTGTATCTTCTTAATGCCTTTTTTCTCCCGCAGCAGTTTACCGTCTGACTAATATTCATTTTCCAAAAGATACGCATGAAACGTCTAGCTAAGCTAGGCCAGAGTGTGTCGTCTTCGAATGCATCCCAAAATGCCACAGCTTCGTCGTCGTCGTCTTCATCGTCGTCAAAGTCGTCAAAGTCGCCAGCAAGTCAGGGCTCTACAAGTCGAATAGCTTCTGTCGGAACTACGTCACACAACTCCGCAAGTGCAGGGACGAGTAATAGCAAGAGAGCATTGCGGGTTGAAGAGACTAGTGTTAAGGTATGACTTTGGGAAAATGAGATCTTAAGAAGCGAGAAAAAATGAGGCGATCATAATGAATGAGAATGAGAAGAGAATGTGATAGCGTTTGGGCATGATTACAACGTCACGTTCTAGACTAATGTCTGCCCAAGCATTGTTGCCAATGATATTGGGTAGAAGTGGTGATATTGAATGGTGTTTCAGTGCAGATTCCACAGCAAGTGATTTGATCCTCAAATCGTTTCTTCCTTTTCGTGCGGTTACGTTTTCAAATCAATATAAATAAAACTGAACCGAAAAACCAAAAGCAGAAAAAGTCTCCACTCCCAAAATCTCAAGTTCCTGCTAAATCGTTTGAGGATTGGCAGAATGACACAATCTCAAAGGTCTTGCGCATTACTCTTGATGTAAGTCTTGTGAATATATTTATAAAGGGGGGGGGTCAATTCATTAGCTATTACGTGTAAATGTTGTAAAATAATAGTGTTATGTTTCTTCTTTTTTATTTGGATTCACTGTTCCCATATGGAATTATCGATTTCGTCGACTCTCAAGAAATCAGCGGCAGAAAAGAGTAGCCATGTTTTGATCTACCTAAATACTCTCGTCGACGAATTAAAAGAAGAATATCCTGGTATGACATTGTCAACGCGTATTTGGGCGACTGAGATATCCAATATTGTATCAATTCTGCGTCCCTGACTATACTTTGATACTGTCACATACAGAGAACGCGTCTGGAAATTTCAAACTTTCCCAATCTCTACTGGATCGCGCACTTTTCGCACGATTGTCACTAGATCCGAATGGAATGAGTGATAATGATGATACTACTATTGCTATTGCAAGTCTACCAGCAGTGCCGTTATTTGATTACTTAGTGGATTGTTGGAAAAATGTGGTTGACATTAAGAAGAATGTACTAGCACGTGAGAAGGTATTGTTTAGTTTATTGGCGGTTTGAGGTATTGAGAGATGTATACCAAGTTGCTGACATTAATTTCCATAATTAACCAAGTAGATGTTGGACCCAGCCGTCTTGAATCAAAGAATTGAGGTGCTGGATAAAGTAAAAGGACTTGTTGTCTCGTACGCTGGGTTGATACTACAATCGCCAGATATGTTCCCACAAGTTGAAACGTGAGTTGTTGCTTAGTCATTTACTCTGATCCGGTAGTTGCGCTTGTTTCGACCCTTACGAATATGATCTAACTTCGTTGAATAGTTCTGTTCCTTTGGGCTCTCAGCAATTGTTACCAAAACTCCTGGCAGAGACTGATACGGATGATGGACTACCATTGGAATTTGTTAGAGACTTGGCTGTTAGGTTTGAGAATGATGAATTTGAAGAGGCAAGTAGTGATTTGATGAAACAAGCACGAAAACACTACCAGAATAGGTTGATGCAATATTAATATATTATTAGGTATTTGGGGTAGCTATTCGCGGGGTATCCGCTCAGATACGTCATGTGAACGTATTAAGTGACTTTCGACCCGCCTTGCGTGTATGTATTATCTAATTGTAAATAGTGAGTTGATTGATATTATTTTTAAGTTATAATTAAGACATACTTGGAATATAGGCATTCACACTGCTTACTGAGATTAAGCAAATTGCAGCAATGGTAAGTATTAGTTAGAGCCTTCCAATATTATTTTTCATAAATGTTTACTTATGCACAAATACATATATCAAATTTGTTATTAGCTACCAACACTTCCAAGTTGGAATCCAAATCATACGACAGCCCGAACGTTCGAAGTTGCTACGTTGGTTGGTCCATTCTGCAGACTGTCTACTTTTCCTGAGGAGGTATGTTGAATGAAAGATCCTTGTTAACGGACAGTTCAAAATATAATGAACGTGTATCTTTACATTAGGTAAAGGTAACAGAAGCCTACTTTACGAACCCTCAGAAACGATCCCAGGTGGATATCGATTCGGCGATTAATAGCTTGAGGGGAACAATACAAGGAATTCAGGTAATTTTTGTTAGCATTGCTTTTGTTGGAGAAATTCGCATTGATTGATCTCTTGTGATTCAACTTGTAGAAAACTCTTTATCGTATATTCCGTAATCTCGTTCATGCATCTCCGGCTGCGCGTGGAAAAGTTCTAGAATACTTTGCAACAGCAATTCGTTTAAATGAAAAAAGAGCACAAATGGCGGTACGTCGTCAAATGTACCTTGACAGTGTATATTGTCTAATAATTAATATTTACCGTCATGTCCTGTTCCAGGTGGATCTTCTGACTGTGGGAACAGATGGCTTTTTGACAAATTTAGTTACAGTACTACTTAAGCTCTCCGATCCTTTCATGGATGCAGAGTATTCGAAGGTAATCGTTATGAATTTGTTATGGGAATACTGGGGCGATCGTTTTAGTAACAAAAACTACCTCTTAATTTCAGATTGACAGAATCGATCCGGAATACTTCCGTAAGTCTAACAGAATAAATATAAGCCAAGAAACTAAGATAAAGGCAAACCAGCAGGAAGCAGAGGCTTACTATGGAAATATCCCCACAGACGCCCAAGGTGATTTAATGTCTGCATTCTAAGGAAATTGTTGTATTACGTCTTACTCTTTAATTAATCAGCTTCTATTGTACTCAGCACCTAATTTTATTTCCGAGATATTCTTTTTGAACGTTGCTATGCATCATTACGGACTATTACGTACATTTGCAAATTATAACAATTTTATAAAGGATCTTAGTGATATCCAAAAGCAAATTGAGAGATTGAAGGAAGAGCGACCTCAATGGTCTGGGGTATGTAGATTAACAACGTTATTTGCTACATCACGTATCTGCTTGTCTGTTATTGATTATAATAAATGCAGACACCAATTGCAGTGGTTAACGAAAACTTGTTAAAACTCCGTGAGGTAAGGTCTTGGTTTATAGAATATTCTCTTTCAAGTTATGACCGTTGGCTTTCTAGCAATTTACATTGTCATTATCCCTATTACTGACTTCTGTTTGCTATTGTGAATTTGTTTTTTTTTACACAGAAAGAATTTGAAAAAATGCTTTCGCAGAAACTTGCCTTTGATTGTCAATTGATGGATCCATCTCTGCTCACCCATTCGCTACGATTTTATAATCTGGTTATGACATGGATACTCAGGATGGTTGACCCCGAACGAAAGTATCCAAAGGAGCGAATACGGTAGATTTTCAAGTCGATTCTGTCCACTTTATTTTGTTTTCTTTCATATTCTTATCAAGTATTTTGTTTGTAGACTACCTTTACCAGAAAATCCGCCTGAAGTTTTTGTCATGTTGCCGGAATACTTTATTGAAGACATCACCGAATACTTTTTATTCATTGCAAAGTCCGTACAAAAATTCGTTTTCTTGTTAACTTATTGACCGAATGCTGACTTCACTAATAACTACGTTCACACAGATATGCTCCTCAGATCATAGCGCAAAACTCGTCTATAGAATTAGTAGATTTTATTATTGTATTCTTAAAGTCATCATCTTACGTAAAGAATCCATACCTGAAGGCGAGATTAGTAGAGGTAACAAATGAACTAATAATGACTTGATTATTACTTCTTTTCTTTCAAGGTGTGTTTCTAATACTTTGTCTCTAGATTCTTTTTTATTTCACATTACCTTTCAGAGGACATTCTAACGGCGGTTTAGGCACTCAGCTCAATCAATATCCAATGTCTTTGGAATATTTGATGCCCGCCTTAATGTCATTCTATGTTGGTGGGTTACGGAAATTTTGTACGCAAGTTTTCGATGCTAGGTTGTGATTAGTTCTAAATGACTCCTCCGTCATTACAGAGGTGGAACAGACTGGCGCCCATACACAATTCTACGACAAGTTCAACATCAGATACAACATCTCACAAGTATTCAAGTGTATTCGCGTTCATCATACACACAGGGACAAGCTCAAAGAAGAATCTCGGTAAGCTTATTTGAGTTTCGATTACAATTATCCTATGAAATAATTTTCTTGTTTCTTAATCCTAATTTCATCCGAAAGATTGTTTTTCTGCCTGGTGGTGAATATAAATATCTAATGAAAGATATGTTTGTAGGAATAACATGGACTCATTTGTTCGATTTGCAAATCTTCTTATGAACGATGCAACATTTCTGTTGGACGAGAGCTTGACAAAACTTGCAGAAATTTACAACATTCAAACTGAAATGGACAGACAAGAAGTGTGGAAATCAAAACCACAGGTATTGTTTACAACATGGTGCTGGCGTATCATACCAAACCCAACCCAAAGCCTTATTCTGATACTTTGTTTTACACACTTTTCATTTACAATCAAGCAATACCGACAAGAGCGCGAAGCCCTTTTACAATCCTTAGAACGCCAAGTAACCTCATATTTAACCCTTGGTGATGAAACTGTCGGCATGCTACAATATATGTCGGCTGAAGTAGCCGAGCCCTTCTTAACACCCCAGATCGTCGATCGTCTGGCTGCCATGTTAGATTATAATCTGGTTACGTTGGTGGGGCCAAAGTGTACCGAATTGAGGGTAAAAGAACCAGAGAAGTATCGCTTCTCTCGAGATGGGTTATTGAAGCAGATAATAGATATATTTCTGAATTTATGTAATCATAAGGAATTTATTCAAGCAGTATCACATGATGGAAGAAGTTATTCGAGAGAAATATTTCTTGAAGCAAATAACAGAATGAGAGAACTAAAAACTCAATCCGAGACAAATATCAAAAAGTTTCATGTATTTGTGAATAAGGTTGAAGAAGCGTTTAAGAGAGATGCAGCGGGAGAAGAGGAACTGGGTGAAATTCCTGAAGAATTTTTGGGTAACCTATTTATATTGAACTTTGAGTATATATGTGAAGTGCTCTCGCGTAATAATGTTTATTCCATTTTGTATCAGATCCTGTTATGTACGATTTAATGGAAGATCCAGTAATTCTACCGACATCTAAACAGACCGTTGATCGTAGTACGATTGCTACGCATCTTCTTAGTGATGCTACAGATCCATTTAACCGTGAGCCTCTAAAAATCGAAGATGTTATACCGAGTACGTAACTAGTCTACTTTCTTTATTATTCCATATTATCATCTAAAGCTAACGTATTTTATTGCAGACACTGAGCTTAAACAGCGCATCGAAGCTTTCAAAGCAGAAAGGAGAAAGAAATCGTCGGATCCACCATTGACTCCATATAGAATTTAGCCTTTTCGGCTGATATGATTAAGTTAAAGTAATACTAAGTCCACAATTTGTACGAACGAATAAAGTTATTTGTAGAAACATGAAATGCAGGCGTTACTTGTACAAATACTGACCAGCTCCCGGACTCTTATGATGGTAGAACATTTACATCTAACCCATATCGAAGCCCATTATAATAGACGTGGCATATCAAGGCATAAGGAGCATGAAGAGCTTCTGTCCGTGCCTTCTTGGCGTATTGCCGTGGCATTACTGGAACAAAAGGACTTGGATATGCAGGTTTCCATTTTAATGATCGGTCAAGAGACAACATACTATCTCTTGATAATTCATACTTAATCAATCCCCAATCGATTAATTTCCCTTTCAAAAATATTGAATATTTACATCTTGACGATATTTATTGATAGCATAGTAAAATCTGAGGAAGAGAAAAAAAAGAGAGGAGGGAACGGACATGAATGTTAATAATAGAACAGGTCTAATTGCTGCTAAATGCTAAACGCCCCCATCGAAGTGCTCGTGAAGAGCTTTTTTTTTTTTCAGCTAACAAAACAATAACATCAAGTTAGGTACGTCGTGTGTGTGTGCATGCTGCTATTTGCTTCGGTGAGCGATACCACAGGTGATTGCACGTGCTCCTCTTCTCGAGACGAACCCTGAGTGAACAGGCATTGATTGTGTGTTTGTGTATTCAGGATGTAGACTATTCCATAGCGTAAATTGTCCTTTGGCGAAAACTCATCTTCCAGAGTTTCTTCTAACTGTATGCTTTCTAACTGACCGTATCCTTTCTAAGGGACTGTATGGCAAGCAATGACTTTTTCTAAGCATTCCTTGCCAAGCAATCTTTCAAGTTATGCCAGCGATAAAAACTGAATATTCTCGTTTTTTCCTCGAAAAATCGTCATGTATAGGAGAGGGGTACTCGCCCATGGTTAGCGGTAATATAAACATACTTTTTCTTCCCCGCTTCTTTCAACACTTTCATGTTGGTATCGGAATTGCCACACCTTTCTTCCGTTAAATCGTTGGTTTTCTTCAAAATATCCCATTGTCCAATAATCCCTTTTGGATCACATCCGCATCGGATGTCGGCAGCCAACGATTTTGAGCTATAAGCTCCCAAACTTAGACTTCGAGACTTCGAACGTGGGCTTTGAGATCTTGAACTTCGTTCAACAATCTATCTTTTTTTTTATTTCTCTTTTTTTGTTTGAAGTGTCTGACGAGGAAAGTGAGGAGGTTTATATAAAGTTTAACTTTGGCGCAGTGCATATTAATATAGTTAATAAACTGCTCGCTATGTTTCTATTTTACCGGAGGTGAGGATGATGTTAGGTTGAGGCACTATCGATCGTTTCTTAATTTAGTTTCTTCCTTCGTTCGCTTTTTCGCTTGCTTCGCTACGACAGGGGTTTACTTTGTACATTGTTGGGGTTTGCTTATTATTTGTCACACAATTCGTTGATCATTCATCCAATAAAATTCTGTTGATTATCTGTAAAATCATCTACCCACTGTTAGTACGTTGCCTATAATAATAATAATAATATGACATTACTTGCAGTAAAGCAAAAGCTATTGGACTTTTTTGGCATAAATCTTGATGTAGATTTATCTGCAACGGATCCTATTACTCTTCCGGAGCTTGTTAGCTATTTAGGAAAGTCTCAGAATGGTCTGTGCGAACTCGAAGTGAGAAATGTGTCAAACGGGTTGGAGGATGTCATAAAAGCACTCACAGCGAAACGATTCATATTCCGAATCATGAAGGATTTTTTGATAGTCCAAATAAATATGCTGTTCAATGGCCGAATACAGAGAGTCATGCAAGAAAGTCTGAATGTCGAACAAACAATCTGATTTTACCGTATCAGTAATTCATCAGTTACAGGCAAGAGCGGTTCTATTTGTTGGTAAGGTGAGTGTATTCAAAAATTGTAACGATCTTATTCGCATCGGCATCTCATGGTCCCACGCATAATTTTCATTATGTCTTAACATAAAATTTTGCATTCCTAGACAGAATCCATCTCCTTTTTTTGTCGTCTTCATTATCGACTGTAAAGAGGATGCAGAATTTGAAGCCGTTCGGCATGGATGCGATCTCGTGCCATACGTTCTGGTGGATACGAGAGCCAACCTTTCATATGATTCTTCCTAATCGTTCTTGAAACTTGCCCTTTCATAGAATACAAATTGGATTTGGATTTAGTTGAGGGAATATATACCATTATTATGTCGGTCAAACTATACTCCGTCTTCGATAAAAGAAATGCTCTTGTTTATTGATGGAATGGAAATGCTTCTGCAAATCTATACAAACCGGGACCAACTTTAACAAGGCAGCGCTCAAATTTAATACCATTAGCATCTAAAGTTTCGATAGCTAGTAAGTAAGACACATAATATTAATAGATTCTGTCTATTTTCCTAATATCTGTTAATATTAAGGGAATTTACTTGTCATCATGTATCTATTCATCTCAGATTTCGAGGGGTTTTTTCAATTAATCGAACAGTCTGAAACTGTCCGGTGAAATTAATAAAGCGATTTTATAGATCGAAAAGTAAAACGTATGTAGATTATCCCTTTCATTTTTTGTCACTCATCACTTTACAGAGCAACATTCTGCCAACTCGATTGAATTTATAAAATAATTAATATATTAACTAATAACACATTGTGCACTCGCATGTAAGTGGACTCGCCAAACTCTCCATTATAACGAGCCTCAACTGTGCTGCTGTTCTAAATTATTTATCAAGAAAAATATGCTCTAGCAAAATTCAATAATTGTTCTCAACAATCTTGACGCATTTAGTATGGTCGCGATGGCATATGAAAATTTGTGCCCATTGTAGTGACACAGCACCCTTTGTTTTATGCTTCTCGTCAATGGTAGCAAACAAGTTCAGATGAAACCGCCGGTCAAGCTAATAACCTTCGATGCTTTTGGGACACTTTTCCGACCTCTTAACGGATCGATTGCTCGATTATATGTATGAAATAACGTTAGCACAAATTGCATAACTGACAATCATGTCGTTTAAGCCATTTCAACTCAATCTCAGACAAAGGAAGCATTACGGCATGGTATATCAATTAAAGAGGATAATGTAATGCCTAGTTTCAAAAAGGCTTTTTGCTCTGTCAAATCGGAACATCCCAATTATGGTTCTCGACAAGGAATGAATACACGCACATGGTGGGCGAATGTATGTAATTCTTTTCATGAATATGTTGTAGCATTTACGCAATCTGCATACAACAGAAAAATAGAATATTATTTAAACCAGGTTGTGGAACGAACTTTTATCGATGCTGGCGTCTCAGAACAAGGTTAAGCTTATAATAAGCTTAAAGCAGTACGGTATCAAAGAACAGTTCTTTACTGAACCTAATGACCCAAATAGATCTCAAGAAAGTCTTCCATGAGCTGTCCGATAATCTCTACAATAGATTTAGGACGGCAGAGGGATATGAACTCTACGGTGAAACAGAAGAGATTCTCTCTGAATTAACAACACTTGGCATCAAACTTGGGGTAGTTAGTAACTCTGATGAGAGAGTCCGTATGTATCCCATCTCCGGCAATTGTCCGTCACATTTTCGTGATGCTTACCAAGTTGATATTTTTGCTAGATGAAGTATTATCATCACTTGGAATTAGCTCACTCTTAGAATTCATACTCGTAAGTAGCGAGTTTGGAATGGAGAAACCTGCGAAGCAGATATTTGACAAAGCCTTGGAATTAGGTGAAGCGAGTGGCCAAGAAACGATACATGTTGGTGATGATATAGAAAAGTATGTTTATTCAACATCCGACGCGTTGACTTTCGTAATTTAACTTACAATGTTGATATTATTGTTCAAGTGATTACTTTGGATCCAAGAATGCGGGCCTCCGCTCTCTTCTGCTGCAAAGACTAACCACAGAACCAGCGCCTCCATCATTTGTGCAAGCAATCTCTTCTCTACGTGAAATTATAAACCACTTATAAATAGTGTTAAGCGTATAAGCCCATGCTATAGGCACAAGTGCATTTCACATTTACATGAGGTGTATTGTTAGTTCTACATTCACATATGCTTTCAGTGTATCAGCCCTTCGGCCCAAACGTTCCCATTACATTTAAAAACGCCGGTTCCAATATACGACTGATTGGTATTCTTTATAGTTGGACTTGTATATATATATCTGGCAGCACACTCCCATTAAATATAAAAGCGCGCCGTGGCAAGTCCACAGAATTTTTGATCAAAGCGTGACAATTTCCCACTGCTTGATTATTTATGCAACAAATTGATGTATGGGATAATTTAGTCACGTGAAAACACAGCAACTAATATAAATTCTCGTCAACCATTTCGAGCAATCAATTCTTCCAAATCTCATATCAAAAACTATGGCAACTTGTGACATAAGCATCTAACGAATTCTTTATTTACATGTCATCGCCCTCAATAGAGATAATTTCATTCTGTTTATCTGCTATACTAGTCCCAGCAACCTCAATATCAGACATCTGCTCATCCATCTGCTCTTCTAAACTAACCGTTTGACTCCCCTGCATATCTATCGTTTCGGATGTTGAGTCATTTTTTGCCTTTGATTCCTCCTGCTCCTTCACGACACGCATCTGCTCTAACTGCATCATCACCGATCTGGTTAACGATGAATTGGCACGTCCTTTTAATTTAATTGGACGCACGTTAGTATCTGTTATCGATACTGGCTGACATAGTTTTTCCGATGCAATCGAATTCGTGGATATTGGCGGATCGTGGGTTTGTGGCGAGGTAAATGCAGTTGTGACCACACTTCCAGAAGGCAATGTCACTGAAGAGACAATGTCGCTGTTGGCGTTGCGAGTAACTATAGTTGCTAATGATTGAGAGGACTATCACAAAATAGTGTAAATATATAGGTATGGTAGTGGAAAACAAAAAAAAATAAAATAATTTGATGGTTATGAGCGAATACATACTTCTTGATTCGGTTGATTAAAATGCTCAGACGCCCAAGTTGGAAAGTCACGTTCCAATAACATGATTTTATCTTCTATTACTCTTAGCCGTTCATATACATTCAATGGAATTGGTGTGACTAAAATAATGGCATAATTAGCAAAGGTGAAGATATAATTGCTAGAGAACAAATCGACCAAAATATCATATACCAATCTTCACGTTCAGGTGTTCTTGTATATTCTGCAATCGCTCTTCGACTCCAGGTGGCAGGTCTATTAATCGTTGTAATTCGCGAGGATTTCTATTATTGCCGTTAATCTGGCGAGTAGATGCTGTAAATGTAGAACGCGCCAATGGGCCATCTTCATTATTGACGACATCGTGCTTCATTTGAATGTTTCTGTTTATCGCAGCAGCTTCAGAACGGGCACATGAAACATCTAAGAACAAGCAATAGTCTGTTAGATGAAATTCGAAATTAGCATCTACTAAATGCACTATTATATCACGCGAACCATCTGGGTTATTTGGATCTGTAGCCTTGCTCAGAAATTCCTTGCGATTGCTATTATTTATTTCCGATTTCTTTTGTTCCATGAAGACATCAATTTTCTGATCAAGCTTTAGACCATAACAAAGAGTATTCACGTTCAAACCAGTTATAAAACGAAAAAGTGTCCTGTTCGGCCTTTCCTAGAGTCTCCGTCTTTGTGCAATTTAACTTAACAAGATAATCACCGACAAACCTCTGCTTTTGTTGATTCTATTTCGACTGATTTGGGGTATATTTTCAGAAGCCGTTTGACGGGATTGAATTCGGCTGTTCATGCGGAATTAAAACTTTTAGCATATGTGAAAATTTTTCGGCACGTTCAAGTGCTCATTCTGCATACAAACCCACATCATCCTCCGCAGCCCTCTTCCTATCGTTAGAAGCCGTGACGCCTTTATCAAGTTCGACCGTAGTCATGTAGGCCTAACAAGTGCGTAGTATGATGCATGAGTTTTCGTAAATGAAGGCGTTTGGGACAGCTAACCAAGCTAAATGAGTGCTCGAGCGTCTAATTAGCTCTGCAACATACTGTAAGCTCTCGAAGCAGCCAATTGACATGATCAGAGGCTTTTAGTCGCTGACTCGCCGGGAAAACGAGCATTTCTGCTTGGAAAACTTTTGCAGATTCGTCTAAACCAAGCTATAACACGGGGAAGAGTATCCATGAGAAGTCATTCTGTAGCGCGTATACCCCACAAGGAACACAGAATCTTACTCTTTCAAGAAACTCTACAACGATTTCCTCCCAACTTCTAAAGTCATTATTAGCAATCTTGACAGATCCACCAGGACTTGTCGTGTTATTCTCCATCGGTTTTTTATTTTCAAGATATGACAAGGGATTCAAACAAGGTAATGAGATACCCCACATGCCTGTATTCGGATCTTGTGTGATAATCAATAAAAAAGTTTCAGATAAATAGTGTCGAGGGTGTCATTATATATGATTGCTCTTATAAATGTGGAGTGATATATCTTTAATGTCTTACATCATCTAAAAATATTTACGAAATAAGTCATTGGGTCTGATGTACTGTGTAGATATTCCCTTGGTAAGGGTATTTGCAATCTTATAGAAGAGGTGAAGAACGATAATTCTTTGGACGTGAAATTTTACCGTAACTAACTCTTGGAATATCTCTCGGTGATCGAATCGCTTGCATTATTATTATTATGCATATTAACATGGGTAAGACTGCAGATAAAGTGAACATTTGAATATGTGGCTTAGGCTGGAAAATTAGCTTTTATTGCATTTTTTAAATCTAGTCATAAAACTTTTACTTGAAGTTACAACATACTTAATATAATATAGAGCGATTAGCTATCTCTATATAAAAATATAAATATGAAACTAATTTATATTAAATCCACCATGGAACCAAAAAATTACAGCACTATTAGAAGCATTCTAAAAAAAGCTCAAGGTGAAAAAATTGCTCCGTACATTTTTAAACCAGAATTTTGCAAGCATATTCAGATAAAGGAAAATCATTTATGAAATTTACCAAGAAGAACGAAAAATAAAACCCAATAAATGAACACTACCACCAACTTATGTTGAACCAAGGAGCAGTTTAATGTAAAAGTTTCCGACCAAGGCCTCCATTGATCAAGCAACCTGTCAACAAAATGTCATTTTTGACTTGTTGGTAAAAGACTGCTTGAGTGTATTCATTGAGTCTTGATTCACATTTCATTACTTGTACCCAAAGAGCCAAAATTACATAATGATGTTTTGATTTTTGTAGACTACAAAGTTAGAATTAAATGTCAGTAGTTTCTAGTTTATTATTCATACTCTTCATCATTATTCTACCATTCACTTGGCACTGGGTTTTTCTCACCAAGCAATAAGTTTCACTCACCACTTAAATTTCCACCTCCATACATACAATCGCGTTCCAATCCACATCAGCTCTAATTAAAAGAACGTCAACATGACGTTAACGCTAGCCTAATGCTGGAAATGATGGTAACACCTATGTCAGTCGTGACTTTGCACAATCTGCATGAAAAAATGTCTACAAACACTGAATGCCGCGCTGTTACTATACTACAATATTGTGTGATAACAAATTGTTAATCAACATCGTCACGATACGAAGTCGTGTTAAGTTAACGGTATGCCGAAGATTACATTATTTAGTTTTATTTATTGCAATCGTATTAACCTGCCACATTTATTGTATAACTTATTTGACACTGTTCCACAAATAACTATTGTGTACAAATTAATATATTATGTTTACACTCTCAAACAAGATTTATAACCTGCTCTAGATTCAGAACTAAAATAGCAAATGTTACCCTATCTAATTGGTAAAATCAAAATGAGCAGTTTAATCCGTTTCTTAAAAAGAGAAAGTGGTATTTGCGAACAAATA